TATATTTATATATATATATATCTCTATATATGTATATATATACATATATATATATACATATATATATTATATATATATATATATATATATATATATATATATAAAGTGTGTGGAGAGTGAGTATGCTATATGTACATGTGGCTGGTAATTCTATCTCACCACCTAAGCGATGAACCCTCAAACGAGAACCTTGGATAGACAAAAAAAGGATGCTTGAACAGAGGTTGATGAAACCTGCGTACATTATGCATAACCGATCTCCAGTGACTTGTGATATCTACGCATGTACCTACTTTCAAAAATGTTTTCCTCATTCTTACCTGGCCAAGTACATAGCTTTCGCCTCTTGCTCCTTCAATCCATTAACGCCTGTTCCAGCCAATTGAGGCTCGTGCGCCAGATAATTCTCCTGCACAATTCATACAAGTGCGCATCACACACGGACGAGTACGCGATAAATACGGTGACTTGCATACAATAGAAAGAAGGGTATTCTTCTATGAGAAAGCGTGTACTATAAATACAGTGACTTGCATACAATAGAAAGAAGGGTATTCTTCTATGAGAAAGCGTGTACTATAAATACGGTGACTTGCATACAATAGAAAGAAGGGTATTCTTCTTTGAGAAAGCGTGTACTATAAATACGGAGACTTGCATACAATAGAAAGAACGGTACTCTTCTATGAGAAAGCGTGTACTATAAATACGGTGACTTGCATACAATAGAAAGAACGGTATTCTTCTATGAGAAAGCGTGTACTATAAATACGGTGACTTGCATACAATAGAAAGAAGGGTATTCTTCTATGAGAAAGCGTGTACTATAAATACGGTGACTTGTATACAATAGAAAGAACGGTATTCTTCTATGACAACGTGTGTACTATAAATACGGTGACTTGCTTACAATAGAAAGAAGATAATTCGTCTATGAGAATGTGTGTACTGTCCCTTGTGCCGATCCACAGAGACAGGGGCGGCCTTCATATGCAGTGAAAGAATAGTGTTCTTCTATGCGTCAGTGCTAGCAATGGGTAAGGTGGCTGTCCTATCTTTCGGATGAATGGACCGAATGTATGGAGGAGGGTGCGATGTACAAGGTACGGGTCCGCCCAGAGAAGCGTGGTCCCCGTGTAGACGGGACAGGTGCAGGATTTAGGGCCGAAATGCACCATTCTGTATACACCAGGGTGAGCCGGATTTAGGGCCGAAATGCACCATTCTGCATACACCAGGGTGAGCCGGAGGGCTCATTCCATCAAATCTAATTCAACCCGATCTACACATTGGCTAAGTAGCGGAATCCCAGTGCTACGAACTATAACTGGCTGTCTCAAGTGACCAGTGCACAAGAAAACAAGTACCACCCATCCACCCGTTGCTCGTATCGCAACATAGCTACAACTACAAACAACAACGGTCATCTAGCAACATAGCTACAACTACATACAACAACGGTCATCTAGCAACATAGCTACAATTATATACAACAACGGTCAACTAGCAACATAGCTACAATTAAATACAACAACGGTCATCTAGCAACATAGCTACAACTACATACAACAACGGTCATCTAGCAGCATAGCTACAACTACATACAACAACGGTCATCTAGCAACATAGCTACAACTACATACAAGAACGGTCATCTAGCTTCACCCATTCACTTCAGGCACCTCTGCAATAAAACACAAGGCCTGCTCTCTATCAGACCCCACACACGTGTTCGTACTTCAATCTTGCCCGACGAGTTGTTTGGGCCCACATTGCAAGTGCCTGCACTCACCAACCTTTTGTCACTGAGCGTGATGAACAGGGTGTCATATATCTATGACCATAATGATGTGCACCTCTACATTAAAAGAGGACTGAATAAACCTAACCCTATCTATGACCATAATGATGTACACCTCTACATAAATTTAGGACTGTATAAACCTAACACTATCTATGACCATAATGATGTGCACCTCTACATAAAAAGAGGACTGTATAAACCTAACCCTATCTATGACCATAATGAAGTGCACCTCTACACAAAATAGGGCTGTATAAACCTAACCCGTCAGCCCACATCCACAACAGCCTCAGACACACACCTGAGACATCAACGGGATGATATCGTCCACAAAGAAGTGGCGCAGACGGTCGTCTATGGTCATCTTGCGTGCTTCTTCTGGGTTGTACACTTTTCGCACACAATCAAACGCGTTCATGGACGTTACAGTGTCCTTATGCGCCTTCCTGATACCTTCTTTGGCGCTGTTGTATGTGATTTTCTCATTGTCTAAACTCCACACCGACAGTTGATTCAGAATCTGAGGCCAGTCGAGTGACAAGAAAGGAACAACAAACTGGTTAGAAGTTCAACAAGAAAGTAAAGTGAGCCTGGAGGTAAACCGGAATAAACCCTTAACCCTAAAAACTCTAAAATCGGAACGAAAAAGTGGCTGGTTTTAGACACCAACGATGAATGGGTCGATACATCAGAGAAATGTATAAGGGTGGTAGATTCAGGGGTGCAGATTAAATAGACAAGCACAAGGTATGTCCGTTTTTGCGCTCGTGCATGGACACAAACGGGACGGATCCGTCATCCTACTGTGTTATCAGGATGTCCCGAACAGCGCCTTTACTTGACAACCCACCGAGACTGCCTAGAGATACCGCGAGAGAAACGAACACTCACCTGCCGTAGATCGTTCTGGGTGGATGTGATGAGCTCCTCCAGGGCATTGGGTTCGATTTTGAGTCCTTCTTTGAAACATATGCTCATGAATTTACCCTGTGGAGCGATACAGAAAAGGGGGTACTGTGTATTGCATGGTGTTCGAGAGAATGAGACATAGCTCTTGTACAGCCCAGGCTGTGTCCTTACAATTGGAAGTGAGAAAACCCCCGAGCCCAGTTGTGAACGTGCATACGTACATAAAACAGTTGTGAACGCGTACATAAGTATATAAAAGGGACACTTCATATCGATGGGAATACAGTGGCGTCAGATAATATTCTCTGGAAAGTTACGCGATGGTCACACCAGAACTCCCTTTGGAAAAGTGTGGTACATTTATGCGCAGGATCTGTCCGGAAACCCCACAGCCCTCCAATGCTAGTCATGTAGTGCAGGACACTACTACAAATACCTGTTCGCCGATCCACTCTGATATACAGTTGAGAACATTTACATAGCTATCTACTCCATGATATATATATATATATATATATATATATGAGATATATAGTCATACTCAACTCTGATCTGTAGGGCGGATATACATGTGAATATTTTGGAGACCAATGTAGTAGATATGTCCACATATGTCAGGTACACCTATACCTTGGTCTGTATTGCTGACACACACGTCATTGTATCTTCATAGACAAAAGTAAAAAACAATATATAGATATATATACACACACACACATATATATATATATATATATATATGAGGCGGGCGTGGCGAAGC